AGCAGCCAGTCCCTGCCTTGCCAAAGCCGCCCAGCCTGGCTGGAGGGGAAGCCGGGTCTCATAAGCCAATCTTTCTGTCCAGGTCCTACGCGCTGAATGGGCGATCGCAGCCAGGAACAGCAGACCTGGGATAAATTACCTATTCATTTTCCTGTGTCAGTGGTCAAACCATTTCTGCCCACTGCAGACTGCCTGTGTGTGGCATGTTTACAGGTAAACCATTGGATTTGGCAATGTTTCCGCACGTATGCGTAATTTAAAAAAAAAGACATACAAAAAATAGTAGTATCACAGTTATTGCTACATACTGATACAGTATCAGACAATAAGAAACCTTTTATCAGCTCTGGTCTGGTTACAGTAATTGCCCGGTTTTGGTATATGCCCTCAGTCCTCTGTTGCGGTGCTTTGGCTGAAGAACAAATGGGTGGAAACGCAAAGACTACATTTTTTTAAGAGACCTTAAATAGTTTGTTCATCTGGGGTGATATATTACAATTAGCATGGTCTGATTATTCCCAGCACACCGTTGCCTCTTCAACCTGGAGAGGTATTTTTTCCCCAGACGAAGCAAAGCAAGACAGAGCCAGCAGCTCCAGTGCAAAGTGTGTCCCGTCCCCCCCCCCGGCATCACGCCTCCTCCCTGACCCCCGGGGCATCACGGGGCGCTGCAAGCACCTTCGGTTGGGCCTTTTTCCTTATTTTTAAATACAGCTGTGCCCTCCTAGTCCCCTGCCCCACGGGTAAAGAAGAAAAGGGGATGGGTTTCAAACCTCTGCCAGTCCCTCCGCATGCAGGTTGGGGCGGCTTTGTGTGACACCCAATACCCCCGCCCCCACCCCCCCATGGAGTCAGGCTGGGGATTCAGAGTGGGCTGGCAAGGGGACAAAGCCCATTTTCCTACGGTCAGACTCGATTGCGAGCAGGGTTTGGGGCTGACAACTTTGTGCGCATTCACACGGGTTTACTGTTTCATGGGAAGTGAGGTTAAATCAGGCGTGTTTGGAGTCACAGTACGACCTTTCTCTGCAAAGGTGGTTTCAGCTCAGACGCTGCTAGCTGTACCAAAAGCTTTGCTGAGCGTCAGGAAGAGCAAGCACCTCGTACCCTGTTTTTAGTAAAAAGTTCACAAAGATAAAGTCTGTGCAAACCACTACTGGGTCCTGATCTTGAGGCAAAACCAAATCAAGAAGGGTTTCAAGTGCACTGGAAGGAAGAGCGAAATAATTCACGCTCTTCCAATTCCTACATAAATACCAGGGACAAAGAAAATTGGTCTTTGCAAGACTAAGCCTTTCGTGGCATTTCACCCCAAACCAGGGGTGCGTAAGTAACCATGGAGGCTGGTACCAGCATCCGGCACGCAGGGATTGCACTGTTCGGCTCTCGGTTGTGATTGTCTGTAAAGCAACGGGAAATGTCATTAAGGAGCTGGGAGAGGAGAAAAGAGGTTTCTTAAGTACTGCGGTCTTGTACAGTGTAACAAAACTCTTTCTACGAATTAATTAGGCAAATACTTCTGACCACGTCATACCTGAAGGGCACTTAATGGCTCCGGCATTTATCTCGCAAGTACAGTGATCTGAAATACATATGCATTTTCAGCGTAATCCTTCGCCGCTGTAAATCATGCACTGGAATGAGAGCGTATCTGGCAACGTTAATTCAGAGATATCATCCTACAGTTTCTGGCAACGGACCCTGATGAAAATAAATGGTTTATAAACACTGTCTGACATGCATGAGCCTTTCAAAATTATTTACAAGTGATGTTCTGGGAGCTTCGCTCCGAGGAAGTATTTCTCCTCCATTCAGTTTAGATATTAAAATCTGCCGGGTGGGGAGGGGGAGGAAGGTGTCAGCACTACACAGTCACAGCTGGGTACATCTTCTGTTCGCTGTTGGTGTGGGGGTAGGGAGACTGGATCTGCCTGTAGCCGCTCTGCAAACCGTCGAGGAAAGGGGGCACCGGGGTCAGCGGCATCGAGTCATGCTGCACAGCGTAGCCCACATACTGGGGGTGCAGGTACTGCCCCTGGTGCGGCACGATCTGGGTAGCCTGCTGGCAGTTCAGCACCGAGAAGTTCGTCGGCATGTTGACATAGACGTTATTCATGGTCCCTTCTGGCAAACAGCAGTTGGTCTGGGACCTGGTTGGGGGGGCTCTGGCCCCCGAGTTGGCGCTGGAGCTGGAGCTGGCGGCGGTGCTCGACTGGCGGGAGGAGGAGCCCCGGGAGGTGCTGGCACTTGGGATCATGGGGATAGTCTCCATCAGGCGGGTGCCCCCGGGGGCTCGGCTCTGCTGGGGCTCCTGCTTGGGCCGCAGGCATCTGCAGCAGCAAGCCGCCACCAGTGACCCCAAGATGATGAAGGCGACAAATACAGATCCAACAATAAGGAACGGCACGTAGATGGGCACTGCAACAGCAAGGAAAACGTCGTCACTGGGGGACAAGGACAAACCTCAGCATCTCCGGCAGCAGGTCCCGTCCCCCCAGCCGAGCCCACCTCCCCCCAGCGCAGGTCAATACAGGATGAGCACTAAAAGCTGTGTGTGCAGCTGAGCATTTTGCACAGGGAGGACGTGCTGCAAAAGGGCTGCTAAAACCAGTGGCTGGAGTTTCCAAAAGCATCTTTAAAGTTATTAGCAGGGAGGAAAGCCCACAGCTCACGCCTCGAGGGAGGACGGCTTGCTCCCATTGATGGTGGTCTAATCCACATCAACCACCCTCCAGATCTCACCAGATCTTGTCTCCAATACGCCCCGCTAGAAAAATCAAGCAAGAGAACGCTGGGTTTGAACAGTGCCGCAGGGAGATACTTTGGGGGCAGGATGCCTGCTCAGGGCTCAGGAGCACGGGGTGGTCAAACCCCAGTGCTGCATCACATCCCTCCCCATTGCAGGCCCTCTCTGGCTGCTGCCACCCCTCGGGGCAGGGGGATAGCTAGGCAGCACCCGAGCAGCAGTCACAGGGGCTCTGCCACCCTCCAGCCCCAGGAATGAGTGTCCAGCTGCTCAGCGCTTCAGCCCTGGGACTGGGGAGAAACCATGGGGAGGGGTGATAGGGCGACAGGACCATGCTCCAAAACTTCACTACCGGCATCCCTCCTTGCGAGGCTTAAAGAAGGGACATCAGGACAGGAGGAGTGAGGGTGGGTGAGGGCTGGGAGCAGAAACTACAGGCGATGCTTCAGCCATGGGGTCAGGAGCCCGACAAGGCGGATGGTGAACACCATCCTTGGAAGGACCTGGGCTCCAGTCGCTCTGCACCCCCAGGGAAAAAGCTGTTTTCTCTGCCTCAGTAAGAAATCTGCATGGATATATCCAGGAATAATAAGGGGAAGGTGCTTCCCTTCAGCGCTTGCGAACGCTCCCAACAACACGCCGGGGCTTCATCATTTCCACCGAAACCCGGCAACCCCGAGACTCGGGCAGGGCTGCGGCCCCCTGCCTGACAGGCGCTAACGCAGCCACTGCTAACAACGTGCCCTGGGCACAGGGGCAGGGGACGCGGCTGCCCCTCCTGTGAGCTAACCAGTGCCAGCGCAGGGCGACAGCTCCCAAACCTGCCGAGCAGTAAATATTGTTAAGAAAATTACTTGTTAAGAAAAATGCCTTGTTCTCCAAACTGCAAAGGGAGTTATCTGTCCACTCCAGTCAGAATACCTCCTTGCACAGTTGATTATGTGGAGTGAGTTATTAACCAAAAGGCCACATTTCTCCTGTAATTTTAGCACTTTTTAAACAAAAGACTTGCAAAAAACTTGTCTCTACTTCTGCGCTTGGCAATACAGTAGCTCTTAGCAGGTGGACACGCTTGCTACAGACTGTAACACACAAGTTTTCCAAGAGTAAATCTGTCCCAATTATAACATCACTTCAGGCTACTTCTAGTGCGTTCAGCGTGTGGGGATGGCAGCAAGGGTGCTGGGAAGCCACCGAGGCTTTTTTTAAACAGCAGCAGAAAGACTTGAGTTCATCCTTGAAATTCAGTCTTGTAAAAACCAGTCCTAAGCAAGGTATCTGAGCTGGAAGGATGTATACGATTAAAACGGGGACCGGCCAGAAGTAATTTTGAAATGTCACGTTACTCTTTTTTTTCTCGCTCATACGGGTCGTTTCATTTTTTCCTTCCCTTTTTAACTGGGAGCACACACAGGGCTGAGGAGCCGATTCAGAGCGGTGGCAGAGCCGCACACGACAAACAGCTTGTCCAAGGCTGTCGGAAAGCGGTCTCACCTACTTCTAAAGAAGACAGGGCTGGACTTTCAAATAATAGGGAGGGAAAAAGACGTATCTAAGCGCGGGTTCTCTTTCCCGTTTGACAGCTGCAGAAGCGCTCGGCTGGCCCCACCTCCATTCATTCTGCCCCACGACTCGTCGGTGGAGGGAACCGGCGACAAGGGGAAGGAGCGGGCGAGAAGTTTGCCGCAAACGCGCGGCGGCTCCCCGGGAGCCACC